TGAAAATCCAAGTAGGGTTTTGAAAACTGCAAAGTATTCTCTAAATTGTTGTTGTTGTTATTGGTGTTTGTTAAAATAAATTTTTTTGGAGGGAAAATATTTGGAAAAAATAAAAAATTGCATAATTAGGAATATTTTAACATAACTTTGCAAATAATGGATAAACTAATGATATGGACTGTAACTTTTTAATCTCAGTGTCCTAAAGAAACCCTCATAGTTTCAAAGCGGTTCGATTTTTATGCTAGTTCCAGGAATGTTTAAGTTTGTTGTTTTTGCTGAAAATCTTTGTAGCGAGTAATTTTTCACTTTTTATTCATTATTTTAAGTTGAAATAATATTCCATATTTTCTTCATAAAAAATTTTTTGGAAATAAATGAAAAAAAAATGTATAATAATAATAATTTATAATAATTTTTATAATAATTTATAAAAAAAATTTTGGTTGATTTTTTTTACCGCTGTAACTGCCTTAGTTTTAATTGGCAATTTAAAAATTAATTAAAAAAAGTTTATATCTGTATTTCATTCCAGAAATCTTGAATATTTACTAGGTTCTTCAAAGTCCATATCGTTTGCATAAACTTTCTGAAAAAAAATAAACAATTTTTTTTCGTTGGTTTTCTTATGTTAAAAACCACTGATACTAAAAAATTTTAAAGTCCAGATCCAAAAACTAGAAACTTAAACCTTCAATTAGGTACTTTTTTATTGTCCCTACAACCACTTCCCTTCAAGTTACACCTTGAAAATCACCCAAAAATTTAGGCATTTTTTAATATTCCTTAATTTTTGTGATTTGTGTATTATTATTTATTTATTTATTTATTTAATTTAATTCATTCAACGGGATGAGAACCCTTTTACAGGATGAATAGAAACAGAAAATATGTAACATAAAGTAGCATAATTACAATAAAACAGCAAAATGGTATAAAAAAAGACAATAAAAACGGAATAGAACATCAAAAATAGTTTAAAAAAAAACAACGGCAAAACAATATAAGATAAATAACAATGATATAACAAATATTACACAATGAAAGACAAAAATTAAACATGAGTTATAAGAATAAAACAAAGATCTTAAAATGCGTAAGCACGCTTTATATCCGCAATCGTACAGTTAAATATATCCAGCCGTTCTTCAATGTTACAGTAATTTCTTAGCATCATATACAAGGGAGATCACTGCAAAATATTAGTACGGGAGTAGGGAACAACAAATAAATTATTAGATCTGGCGCTGGCTCTAGGAATTCTGTAGCTAACAACAGAGGTAAGCATAATGCAATCCATACCATTGTGTATAGGAAAATTATAGAATTCATAATCCTCCTTCTAATTAGACTGCTCATTTCAAATCGTTTTAACAATAAGTCTTGTGAATACCCTCTGGTAGGATAAATCCCATCCAATATGAAACTTGCGGATTTCAAGAACCTTCGCTGTACTTTCTCTAACGCCGTTATATGACAATTATAACTTGGAGACCAAATTACAGAGCCGTACTCCAATTTAGGCCTAACAAAGCTATTAAATAATACTCGTAATGTAGATATGTTTTTAAAATCTCTACTGTTACGTAGTATGAACCCCAGATTCTTGTACGCTCCAGCTATGCATTCTTCCACATGTTTAATGAATGTCAATTTGCTGTCAAAAATGATGCCAAGATCTTTAACAAATTCAGGCCGATTTAGTATCTGATTATTTAGAGTATAATTAAAACAAATTTTACTATTTCTACGAACAAATGACATAACATTACATTTGGAAGCATTCAAGGGCAGTCGATTACAATTACACCATACACTAAGCAGATTCAAGTCATGCTGTAGTTGCAAACAATCGGATTCGGAGTTAATATCTACATAGAGCTTGAGGTCATCAGCGTACAGCAAGAAGCGAACATTTAGATCTTGGGCGATATCGTTAATGTATAAAATAAAAAGCAAAGGTCCAAGTATGGAGCCTTGCGGCACACCAGATGTTTGATTAAAAAACACAGAGCTGTGACCACGGTACCGTACAAACTGAACACGGCGGGAAATGTATGATTTTAGCAACTGGAGAAAGGATCTACTAACACCGCAAGCTTCGAGCTTATTCAATAGTTTACCGTGGTCAAGCCTGTCAAATGCCTTGGAGAAGTCAGTATAGATGACATCCACCTGACCCCTCCTATCCAGCGTTTCGGCAATAAACTGGGTGCTACACTGTGGATCTGCCCTTCATGAATCCATGCTGTTCGGGAATTATCAAGTTCCTTGTGTAAAAGGAAAGGTGTTCATGAATTAATATTTCAAATATTTTAGAGAAGTTGCATAAAATGGCAATAGGTCGGTAATTCTCAACATCATTCTTATTGCCTTTCTTAAAAACAGGACATACTCGGGATTGCTTCCATAAGTCAGGAAAGGTATTGTGCTTAAGAATAAGGTTGAATATTTTTAAAAGTGGTTTACAAAAGATGGCAGCACAGTCTCTTATAATAAACGCAGGTACATTATCCGGCCCGGTTGTCATATTTGCTTTAATCTTTCTTATAGATTTTCTAATACTGTCTTCAGTAAAAGATGTAATAGCGGATATAGCGTAATTATTAATGTGATGTATAATATCGGGTTACTAAAATAGTGGGCAAAAGCGTTCACAATGTCCTGGGGATTTTCAAGTTTGGAATTATCATAATTCATGCAGGATGATATACAAGTAGAGTTTTGCTTTGAATTAATGAAATTCCAACATTTTTTAGTATCATTTTGTATGGAACATTCAGCCTCCTTAATATAATTATTATATGCAATTTTTATAGAACATTTAAACTGTGTTCGAAGACGTTTAAAATGATCGTAATCAACCTGCAGTTTTGATTTTTTGTAAACTTTCCAAGCTCGGTTTTTGATTTTTAAGAGGTTTATTATTTCTGTGTTAAACCACGGCGAAAAACATTTACGTGCAGGTGTTTTCGTGGGAATATGTTTCGTAAAAAAATTATTATGTACTATCCACTATCGATTACAGAAATTATGAGAACATTACAATGGCTTGAGCCTGTTATTAATTTTCTTCTATTCCAAATCATGAGGATTAACCCAAAACATGGTGTACAAATTTATGGGGGAAAAAGAGCAATCCCTATGTAGACAAAATATTAGTACACCCCGTGTGTTAACATAAATCATTCACCTTTTTTCTCATACTGTTATTCCCTCATTTCTTTAGAACCAAGATTTATTGCTCTATAATATTATTTTCACCGTTTTAATTACGCCCAGTTCCTGATCTGTATCTCATTTGAAACATTTTTGTTGAATGATAAAGACGATGGAGTCATTAGAGCTCGAGAATCGATATGAAAACTACTATAAATATTTTTTCAGTAGGCAAAAAGTCTGAGGAACGCTGTGTGTAAGCTTCGTAATCCTGTTTGTAATAACAGGTTAGAATTACTTGTAAAACGATTCGTAATTACAATTACATTAACTTGAGCAATAAGAGTTATTACCTACCGTCACGAAAAACATCTTGGAGTTGAACTCAAGTATTTACTGCGATGTTACGCTCGCAAATAATACCTCCGTGAAGTTATTTTGACGTGCCATTTCACGGATCTAGATATACATATTTACTGATCTCAATTTTAAAAGCAATATGTTTACGAATTTGAGAGCAGCAAGCAGAAGCGTGGTCCATATTATTTACATAATTCTGGGAGCCCATTGCAATGAATTGTGTAAACATTTCGATCATACATCAACAATTTGAATTTCAAGGGCAAAGATTAACGACTCCTGTTTTTGTGTAACGAAAAAACTGGCGCAGTAGGGTCGGGATCCTACGCTGTTACGTTTAAAAAAATTATCAAAGCCCATCTTCAAAATTTTGGCCTTTCGACGAATTATAAAACGGACTTGTTTTGATTAATTTTACAAGAAATCTAAAACTGTCTCGAAAATTAACATTTCTGTTTGGTACTTGAAAATTACAAACAAATTCTGGCACAATTCTAGGGCGGGTATTTCCAAAATGCCATTGGATTTGACATGAAGTCAGATTTCGAAGAACTGCGTTTAATATTTATTTATTTATTTATTTATTCTCAGAAACCCAACACGATTAGAAATTTTGACAGCATGGTAGAGACAAGTAAACTGAACAAGGTGATGAAATGCAACTTAATATTAGTGTGCGCTATAAAAAATACAGAACAGTGCAATAGTAGATTGTAGTAGATGATAAAATAATATTTTACCGACGACTGAAAAGGAGCGCATATCAAGGTCTAATCTACTATAATATTTTCTAAAAAAATTCTATAAGGAATTTTAAATAAAAACAAAGATGTAATAAAATTTGTTTTAAGAAGTATCTTCACAGTTTATACTATATACTTTCTACTATAAATACAAAGGTGGATTTAAATTACAGAAATCAGTACGACAATATTTAATTTTGCAGTAACAAAGGCAATACATTTTTTGTAGAATTATACTTTTCATACTTGATCCAATTGCTCAAAAAATTTTTAACAAAGTATTTTTTCCATATAGGTAATTGACATAAATTGTTATTAAGAGATCTTGTTATTCTAGAAAATGACGAGTTTAATTTATAGTTACCATGTTTCCGATGAATTTCCCCACACACCTCAAATAATAAACGAGATTCGGACAAACCGAGGCCATTTTTGTGTTTTTGTACCCGATTTACAAGACACATTAGATCGAAAAAAATATTTCTCCGAAAAAAAAAAACGGTTTATTCGACGAATGTGTACTTTTTTCTACACAAGCCGAAAATCAATATACTTACTTGGTTCGTACTGCATTTATCTCGGTTTGATCTACATATAATTTTATCAAATTTCCAGTCATGCTAATTATTACCTATAATTACTTATGGATTATATACCATTTTAACAATTAAAAAAAAAAAGATAATTATTATTTAATTAGTCTGATTATGACTCCGTTATTGTATAAATACTGGCCATACTCCACCTACAACCACATCGTAGTAGGCGAGTTCAACAGCCAATTGGTAAGTCGAATTATAATGTTTTTTTATTTATTTATTACTTACTTAGAAACAGTAACAGTTACTGAAAGTATAAATGTCATTTCTATAAAAAATAAAAAAAACAGTAAATTATCTAATTTTTAGTTCTATCTACTTTTTTCTTTCAGGTCATATTTTTCAGCTCTAAACCAATTCCCATAATGAATTTCTTCAAAATAGTATTTATGGTCGCTGCCGGTGTTGCCGCTTTGGGCAGCTATTATGTAGAAGCTGCTATCAGGTAAATATTATCTATAAATAATCTCTCAAATTGTTTCTTCCAATACATAGAAACTGTTGTCGGTGTTCATCAACATCATAGTGATTAGTTGCCTCAAATGAACCGGCAATATTAAGGTACATACTAATAACTTAACGCATGATTCGAATTTTTAAATTTATATGGTAGTCTTCTAAATGTACCGATATGATAATTCACCTATTTCCACTTTAACCTTAATCTTTTAAAACGGCTACCTAAATATCATCAAATTAGAACACAGAATACTTTTTTTAGTTTTTGTTTCTGTTTAAAAATCTAGAATGTCTGAAGATGAAAACTGTACTAGTAATTACAATAGTTGACCAATATAGTTTAAATGTGTGTAAAATTGTGAAAATATTAAGTCCTATTTAAAATTATGAAAATAGGAGCAGTAACTGGTTAATTTTTCAGTTTCAAGCATTTCCAAAACTCCTAAATTTTAAAACTGAAACGTCATACATTTAAAAAATTTAAATAAAATATAAAAAAATGATTCTGTTTTATAAACCGATGAAATTTAGGATATAGGAGTTTTACGTAATACTGATTAACGTTACGCAGCCAGATTTACAATAAAAAATTACTTTAGTGATTTTCCCTAAAAACCACATATAAAAAAAATTCCAAAAGATGTTATTTTGGTGTTTGGCTTCTTAGTGGGCTACACTATATATCCCATTTGTTATTGGAAAAGTTGGTGGTGGATTATGAGTAAATATGTATATTTACGAAGTAAAAATGAGAGAATATAATTACATTTTCTTTTTCTAGTGCAACTGCCAATCCCGAAGCCAACTATGTAGGAGCCACAAGCAAATACAACTAATAAAAAAATAAATGCTTTTCTTGTAAATTGTCGAAACTTAATGTTGAGAAAATAAAATTCATCTTAAAAAAATATAATATAATTTTGAATTTCCTGACAAATAGACAAAACATTTTAACCGTTAAAATATGTTCATATACTCTTTTAAAAGTATTTTTAAATATTTCAGGAACGGTGAATGATATCAAAATAGAATTTAGTACATAGTATAAGAACATAATGTACAGCAAAAGACACCCATCAAAATTTTGTTCTTTCTATTCACCAGCTTATATTCTATTCTCACATTTGGAATTACCTATTTAATTATCTAAGAAAACTGCCTCTCTTTCCAATTTACCTTATTTTTTTTGTAAAGAAATATAGGCTACTAAGACTTTGTAGAAACAGAATTTACTTGATATTGAGAGTATAATGCAATGCCAGCCAAAGCATATAGCCCTTAGAGTAGCTGTTTAGCACAATATACGAGTAAATGCTGCCGAAATTTAAAAAAAATCAAATTAAAACTCAAATTATTGATAACCACTGACGTAAATGAACCGTATATAAAACTTTTACATATTTGTCTTAGAATGTTTTATCGACATCAAGATCCGCCAGAAAAGCATATTTTTATAGATGTCATATAGATGTGTATGCAAAGTTTACAGTAAAGTACCTACAGTACTTTAAACTATAGTTCACTAATCGTAAAATAAAATTTTATTTAACATATTTTTTACATATTTACATATCATAAAGTCAAAGGACATGTTTGTAAAAAAGAATAATGGTGAATGCATAATTGTTTATTTGAAATGAATAATATAAAAACATGCGATAATTTTAGTCTTTTAAAATGCTCAGAAAATAACCGAACGTTTTGAATTGTGCGCTATTGGAGATATTTAGTGATTTGCGGTTGGCAGCATTGCGTTGTATGTAACCTTCTCTGCAACCACATGTTCTTGGATTGTTGATATCTGATTTAGCTTTCTTGATATTGTTATTTTTAGTGACGATTTTTGAAAAATGTGCGATTTTCTGGAACAACGATGCAACGTAAAATTTTCACGGAAACCTTTTAACTTTTTGAAAGAATCTTACGGAGATGATGCTCTGGATCGTACGTAATGATACGAATGGCAATGAATCTCAACGACCACGACCCAAGAAAGTACGTCAGTCTCGATCCAATGTCAAAGTGATACTCACTGTTTTTTTTTCGACTTTAATTGAATTGTACATTTTCAATTCTTGCCTCAAGGTGAAAAAGTGACCAGAGTTGTGTCAAACATGGTTCTTGCACCATGATAATGCACCCACACACTCAGTTTTGTCAATTCGTGCAAAAAATCAAATTTCTGTCCTCCCTCACTCTTCTTACTCGACAGATTTGGCTACTTGCGGTCTTTTCTTATTCCTGAAATTAAAATCAGTGCTGAAAGAACCCCGTTTCCAAACTGTTGATGACATCATAGCAAATTCATCAGAGACTTTAAAGCCCATTTCAAATGAGGCTATCCAGGATTGATTGCTTCGCGAAATGAATACACCGCTGGGAAAAGTGTGTAAATATGGGAAGGGAATACTTTGATGGAGACAAGGACCAATAATGTATAAAATTTATCATAAACAGACCTCGTATAACGTATATTTAATATCCACAACAAATATAAATGAAAAATAATGTAGTACCAAATTAATATATTTCAGTAAAGTACTAGCTAATACACTGTAATCCTTTTTTTACTAAAAACAGATGAAGCGCCAAGGAGAGGCATAAAATAATTAATTCTTAGTAAAGAACACACCTCATTAGTATAGCTTTTCATAATAATCAATACTGCACGTACACAAAACAATCACGAATGTATACCATATTAGCGCAATGATTTATGAAGCGGAATTAAAGTTATGTTTACGATGTATGGCATCGGAATACTTCGTCTTTGTACGTGATGCAAATGGGCGAAGAAAAAGAGCGAGTTCACTTCTCGCAGCAACAGATTTACTTGTAGTAACCGTCTGCACCCTTGTATACAATAAAACGTTTAGTTGTGCCAATAATATAAGTTTCAATGATCTTATTTTCCAACCACAACAGGAAGTAAATTTTAAAATTTACAAATCACAGGTGATGTAATAATTTATCAGAAGTATAACATGTCTAGAAATCTTATCTTACTTGTGGGTAATAATCAAGATACCTGCGACGTTAAAAAAACATTTAGGGCATTCATTTTTTTAGCAACATAGTTTAATTGGAGGCTTCAGTTTTTACATTTTACGAATTTTTTTAAATACTTTCCGGATACCTAAAAACTCGAAAAAAATTCTAAGCTGAACTTCTAAATATGTGATTGATTAATTCCCTGACTGAAAAATTTAAGGGCTTTGTTTATATGAACTTGTTTTTGTAACAAAGTATAATCGACGTATATATCGATTTATTAGACATTCGAGAATAGTAATACAAATACCACCCAGAACTATTTGCACATGCTACATAACTATCGGTCGATCAGACGCTCCTGGGAAAAGCTCTCTTCCTCTAAAGCAACACAAGCCTGAGTGTTTACCTGAACTGTCGAAGAGCCCTATCTATTATTCATAATGAGGACAAGAGCATCGCTAATTATCCATTAGTTGCAGGTCGTTAAACGAGCCAAATGAAAATACCGCCCGGTGGACTGCTTTATTATTATTTATATATTGCGAAACCTTCATCGTTATGAGAATCGGTGTAAAATTGGTGTTACTTTGTACTCATGTTATTAGTTAGTACCATTTCTGAGAGTAAGGGGCATTCAACCTAGCGGTCATTCACAAAAACTAATTTACTTATGAATCGAAAGTTTGGATTATCTTTAACCCAATATCTACAATTTTAAAAGGAAACCACGCCATTAGTTGTAAATCAACATTCATTCGTCAGTAAGTAAAATATTGTGATGAAGGAATCTGTTTTCAATTAGTTTCTCGCCCATTGTTAAACAAAAATCCACACAACGACCACCATCAAGCAATTTATAATTAAACACTGGTTTGAATGGATAGATTTTGTTGTATACTAAAATTCTTTGAGTATGAGATCTGCTAATATCTATGGTTTCTGACCTCTTCCTGAGTGATATCTTTGGAATGTCTTGTACAGAGTCCATAACTACAACACTAGCAGCATCGTTATCATTGCATTCTTTTTTTATCTTTAAAATATTCTTTACATCACCAGTAGTATCGAGTTTTATAATTAGCTTGCGAACTGTGATTATTGTTCTTTTCTGACTAAACCCCATATTTAAGCATTTCTTGAGTTCTCAAATAACTTTGTTAGATACAGTTTTTAACGAAAACAAAAAGTAAAGGCACTTTGCTTAGGGAAAATTTCACATTTTCAAATTACATATTTGGTTACAAGCAAAACTTTTTATCAAGAATAACTTTTTCTAGAAAAATCATCAATAAAAAAGTTTACAAGAGTGGGGTACTCTATCTGGGAACACACTGTATATATTCTTCTTCACAAAGCGATATACTAAATTACCTAATACGATATTTTTATCTCGTTCTCAATGATAATTTTACAAAAGTTCCCGTTGTGGTAATTACATATTGCCTATAATTATTTTAATAGAAATTTATCATTGTTCAATTTTCACAATTAGAAAATGTTAAATTATTTATAATTATTTAATTAGTTTGATAGCGAATTCATTTTTGTATAAATACGGGTATTACTTTGGCTACAACCACATCGTAGCAAGCGAGTAGCTAACAGGTAAGTTAAATTTTTGTATTTGTTCTTTTAGTTTAAATAGTAAAAAACGTTTGAATTTTTATAATCCATTATTTTTTTTAATTTTAATGATAAATCTTCAACAAGAATTTATAAAACAACTCAACTCTGATTTTTTAGTAAAATATCCTCCTTTTTTTATAACCATAGCAAATATGCATCAGAAAGAATATTCAGTCCTATTACCAAAAAGATTATTTTTACTTCAGATCATATTTTCCACCTGCAAACCAGATCCTGAACATGAATTTCTTCAAAGTAATTTTCATGGTAGCTGCCGCTGTTGCCGCTTTGAGCGGTTATTATGTAGAAGCTGTACTGAGGTAAATTTTTATACAATTTTCTTGAAATTGTTTGTTGCACCACTCAAGACTATTATTACTAAGTACCTACGTTACCAAACATACCTACATACCCACACTTCTTCTTGTATAGTTGCCATACAATTTATTATAGCAAAAATTGGTTGCAAATTAGAGGCAACTATAATATTTGCACATAAAGATAAATATATATTACCTAAAATTTTTATTTTATTACAGTCCCAATGCCAATCCCAGCAACGTCAAGTATTTGGGAGCTACAAGCAGATACGATTAATAAAAAAAGATATGCTTCTCTTGTAGATTTTTAAATCGAAACATTAAGGAAATAAAATTCATCACAAAAAATATATCTCATTTTGAATTCCCTGACCCTGCGAGTTCAGCATATGTGAAGTCATCTGAATTTTTTGAATTGTTAACATCCAAATTATATGCTTATTCTTGATATAAAGGTATTTTCATCGAATTAAATATTCTGTAATATATTTTACATTCATGTACAATGTATACACATCATAATGTATAATTTTTTCAAGATAAAATGTAGGGTAATCAAATACTTATATTTGCTTTTTCATTTATGTTTGAGATAAATCTTAAGAAAAATTTAGTTGCTATTATTTGTTCGAGCTGTTATCAGATTTTAAATATGCCATAATATGTTGCATGTACCACGATTATCACTAAACTCAACTTAAGTACTTCCTTATTAGGTCGGTATCACGTGATGGATAAATAATAGTATTAAATATAAATGTACCCAACAGTAAAGCAATATTTTTCAAGTAAAATAAGAGAAGAAACTGAGAGAAAGCTTATAGCTAGATAAAAAGTATGCAAATATTTTCACTCAAAGCTAGAGACTTACCAATTAAGAAAAAAAAACGGAAAAATTGAAAAAAATTGTTTTTTTCCGAAACAAAAAAAAATGGGAAAAAATTGAAGAATCTCGAAATAAAAACTCTTGAAAAAAATACTTATTAAGGTTTTTTCATTATATATTTCGATGGAATAAACCTCAGTGAGTATGAAAATAACATATTTTAACAAATACCTTCAAATTTCAAAATATTAGAACTCGCAGGCAAATGTTATTAAAAGGTAAATATAATATAATTTTTGAGATTTTATGAAAAATTCCTTTCATGTGCTACCAATACTAACTAAACAACAGTTAAAGAAACGAATTGTACGATGTAAAGAGCACGTTAGGCCAGTGGCGGCTCGTCAGGTGACGCAAGTGACGCGACGCTTCACCTAAAATTTCCGTTTGGTTGTGCAATTTAAAATTATTTTTAATTTTATATAAATTTTATAATTTAGGTATAATTCTGTATTGAAAATGTACTGTGTTGGTTTGTTTTATACGCAGAAATAAACAGTATAGTTGCGCGATGAACGCCTCCTAAAAAAACATTGCCTTCTTTGAGCGCGAACATCATCCTCGTACCATACAAGGTATAGCATAAGCAAGTGATGCGGATCGAAATCAGTTTGTATTCCGCTTCACTTCATAGCGCTGTTTACGGCGGTTGTCATGGCAACGAGGCGGCCAACACGTGAGTGAGAAGTGACACGGATATTGAAGTAGCATTGTCATCGCCCATTGCCTGCCTTTAAATTAAACAGTTTAAAGATACGCGTCACCCAGTGCACGATTATAACAGTTCTTTGTTAATATTTGTTTTGTATCAATAATTGTAGAAATGTTTCCTATGTATGATCCAGTATATATTTTTTCTATTCTATTTTTTATAAAATCTAAATGAAAATCAGTTTTTCGGTAATATTGCAAATGCAACTAAACTTTTCGAGATTCATGTAAAGCCTGCGGCCCTTTTTTTTTAGTAAATTAAGATGCTACACTTATTCTCAATGTCTCGAGCCGCCACTGCTTTAGGCTGAAACCACATATCTTGATTTGGGGCTTACTGTAGGAGTTTGCAACTTTTATATTTAAATAGGTACGTTAGATTTAGCTCAAATATAAATATCGCTGATCATGATGATAATCATTTCCATTTTATTTAGTAAATTGAAATAAATAAGAAGACTCAAATCTTTCATATAGCCCCAAAAAATAATGTCTAACGTCGACTAAATCGATGTCGTGTATCCAAAAAAGTTACAATATCTCGTAAACGAGGCCCCAAATAGAAATCTTACAAGAGTGAAGAAAATAGAATAAAACATCGCTTTATCTAAAAAAAAATATTCAGTACTCAAAAAAAATAGAGGGTTCATGCAACCCCCCTCCCCTCCGTTCGCTCTGATATTTTAAACCTCAATTACACAAAAATTTCAAATAAATATCTCTACAATCAGGAGTTATAAAAAATTATTTTTTCAAATTTTAATCGCGACACCTTCTGTTTTGAAAATGGGGCTCCGCAATGAAAAGTGACATAAAACAAGTCCCATTATTTTATTTCAAAGAGTACCTATGTGGTTAACGGGTTGACCTACTAATTTCTAACACCCTGTATATTCTTGCTCTTATCCTTGACAAAGTTTGTTCATTTAAAAAAACAAATAGATATTTTTACTTTTACTTTAATTCTACCGTTCTTACTTACTGTAATATTTTTTACAGAAATTTAGAATTTCTACTTATAGTCTGTTTGGAAATGAAAGAGAGTAATAAAACCCCGAGATAAGAACCGGCCATGGGCGTGGTAATATTTCGTTTCAGGTAATTATCGGGTAACACTAATGCTAACAAAAATGACAGGGATTGGAAAATCGACTATCTACAGACTTTTAAAGGAAACAAAAAATGAACAAGATACTGTAAATCCCCCAAAATCATCTACAGGGAGGTCAAAAGTCGTTATAGATGATTTCTTCAAAAATGTCATTCGCAGAAAAGTACACTCATTTTATTTTAAAAAAGAAATACCAACGCTAAACAAAATTTTAAGTGAACTTTCAGAGGACAACGATTTGCCAAAAATCAGTAGAAGCAAATTATGGGCCGTCTTACGAGAGTTGAATTTTTGCTGGGAAAAGCAGAACAGGAAGTCAGTTCTTATCGATAAAGATGAAATTATTTGTTGGCGAAGATCCTACTTAAGATCAATTAGAAAATTCCGTGACGAAGGGAGGAATATTTATTATCTAGACGAAACTTGGGTCAACGAGGGATATACTGTAACAAAAGTATGGCAAGATAAAAATGTAAAAAGTTTTCGACAAGCATTTTTGGATGGACTTTCAACAGGGTTCAAGGCACCTTCAGGTAAAGGGCGAAGATTAATAGTGACACATATAGGTAGTGCCAGTGGTTTTGTAGATGGCGGTTTACTTTTATTTGAATCTAAAAATACAGGTGACTATCACGAAGACATGAACGCAGATGTTTTCGAAGAGTATTTTACACAGATGTTGGATCTTATTCCTCCGGGGTCTGTAATTGTCATGGATAATGCCAGTTACCATTCACGGCAGACCGAGCGGACGCCTACGACTGCTTGGAGGAAAGCCGATATAATTCAATGGTTATCCGGAAAAAACATTTCTTTTGAAACAAATATGGTGAAAAAGGAACTTTTGACACTTGTCAATCTTAATAAAGATCAGAAAAAATATGTTATCGATGAAATGGCAACAAATCGCCAAATAACGGTACTACGGTTACCACCTTATCACTGTGAACTTAACCCAATCGAATTAGTCTGGGCGCAGGTAAAAGGAGATGTAGCGCGAAATAATACGACGTTTAAATTAAGTGACGTGAAAATTTTGTTAAAAAATTCCTTGGAACGAGTAACTGCAGATAACTGGCAAAGATGTATACATCATGTACAAAAAGAAGAGGAGAAAATGTGGGAACTCGATAATTTAATTGACGTTACTGTGGAACCTATCGTTATCAATCTAGGAGACGAAGATAATTCATCAGAATATTCAGAGGATGAATTTTAATATACCTACTTTTTTATTTTCTTTATTGTACATTTATACAACACTACATTTACTCACCATAATTTGAATTTTCAAAATACATATATTTTTGTGTGGAATAAAAGTCTATTCATTAAATTTAAATAAATATTTTGATAATAATATTGAATAATTTTATTTGAATTACTAAAAACCCTCTTAACCCGGTTATGATGCTTAAAGTAGCCTCATGTTTTGAAATGCTGTTTTTATATTGTTTACTTATAAGAGAAATGGACCGAGAAATTGAAGCGGCATAGACAAAGACGGATTGTCGGGGATTAAATTTTAGCTACCTGCTACAATTTAGTACAGTCCGATCACACAAAGTTTTTTTAAAAGTACACCTCATCTATACGGAAAATACATAATATAAAAATATTGAATATAAGCACCAGTATTACATTTATTTACGATTTGCATTCATAATAAGCTTTTATTACTCTCTTTCATTTCTAAACAGACTTATAGTTAACCTCTTGTTAAAGGTATTTTACCACAGTTTGAAGCCCTAGGTCTTTATCAGATATTTTATTCAAAGAAAAACTCCTCACATACGACCTCCAACCTCCCTCGTATCAGATAATTATACGAAATAAACTAATATTTATCAATTCGTGCCTGATTTCTCTAAGCGACTGCCGCTTTTCACACAAACTAAAGGGTTATTTAAAAACAATAAAGTAACAGTTCCCAAACATTAACGGGACGGAGAGTACACATGCATGCATATTATGTGGGTGTACGCGTGCATCTCGTATTATTTATAGCGGTTCGCGAATTTTTAGCGCTCGTAAAATTATTATTTTCCTTTTTCTGACCTCCCTCGAGTCTGATGCCGACTTTCTAATTAGCTATTAATGTGAGAAATTGAATATTAACAAATTTGCGTGCTTAACCTCCGTTGGACGAACGAGCGTATATCATATCGACACAACTAGTTAAAATCAAGAGGTTGTGTGCTTTTTCCCGGATAACGGCAACACGTACCTTTACAACGAAATATACGAGGTGTCACCTAACGAATGTTACATACTTCAAGTACAATCTAGAATCCAAATGGTGTCGATTTAACCAAACTTGCTGCAAACTTGCAAAAATATCGCAAAAAAGTTACAGGGTGTTCGTATTTAATGAGATCATATTTGAGTAATAGATTACAGTACGTTGTATATAATAATGTGAAATCATTCATAAAGAATATTGAACATGGAGTTCCACAAGGTTCCATATTGGGTCCGTTACTATTTCTGATATATATTAATGATTTTCCTAATTGTTTACCTCACGATACTAAAAGTATACTCTTTGCTGATGGTACCAATATAACTAGAACCAACTTAAACTTTGAACAGTTAATGACATCAACTTATGACCAACATGCATTGGTTGAAATTATTTGAAG